AAAGCCAGTACTATGAAATTTAAACCTCATAATGGTAGATCTATTGTCTAACGATCTGCATTGCGACTTTTTAATACATTCCAACAATTGCTGTACAGAAGTTGCTGGAAGGCGTACCGATTTTGAGTGAACTGAATATTAAAATCTTTTAACTTTTCCATGGAACAACTTTTTTCAGAACGGCATTCCATCCGACTCTGAAGAATTTTGGATAATTGCTTACTTATTGAAAACCGCAACAGGCAATAAATTGTTTAGAAATATAAGTTAAGTAGCCTTCATACTAAATATTATCCTTGCGGCACTCAAATGCTTTTATTGAGCGCGTGTTTTCCGTAATGAATTCAACAAAAACTAAGATTCGAAATAGGCTGAGGTTGGAAAGCCTTAATTCAATAATTCGAATAAAATTTTATATGAAGGCTAATAGTTTCTGCTGCAACACGTTTCCAATATCAAACAATATGTTATCAAGGTTGAATAGCTCAATATATTACAACACAAAATTAAATGAGGTTGTTCACGCTTACCTGGCTCTCAGCTTATGTGGTTAAGTGGTTATATTTTTTATTCAGTTTACAGCCATAAAATACACTACATAATAATAATTTTTAACCAGATAACCTAATAACCAGGCAAGCGTGAACCACCTCAATGATTCAGGCACTATAGACGATGTTAAAGAAATTGTGGAAATAGCTGATCTCGCCTTATTATAGCTTTTTATTTTATTTTTAGTGCCGAGGGCTTAAAATCGGATTGTGCGATTAATTAATTAATATGAAGTAAAGTAAATTTATTAATTGCGCAGTCCTATTGCAAAATGTGTTAATACAAATGTTTTTAAAGGTATGCGTATTTTTAAAGAAGATTGTTTGTACATCACTATTTGTGTTATTTATTATTACTATGTTATTTATTAAGTCTAGACTAACTGAGCTTTTAGTGTGCCTAGTGCTTTTATGCACAAGCACAAATTCTTGCTTTCTCTATCGTGTCAGGTTTGTGAGATATTCTAACATAAATGCCAAAAAAAGTTTTTTTTTACATATTTTAGGTTACGTACCATCGCAAATAAATTTGTTTCACAGAAAACTACTTAAAGTATCTAAAAAACAAATCTTCCCCTTTTTGGAGTTTGCCCAAATATATTTTTCTTTCGCGGAGATGTCGCATTTTGAAATTTCAATATCCATTTTCGAACCTTCGAACCACACATTACTTACAAAATGCGATATCTCGAAAAAAAAAATAATTGAGAAAACTCGACGGCATTTAAAAGATTAAGAGTAATACTACATGACCTCAAATATGACGGAAAACAGTGCATTCAAATCACCAAAATGAATGTAAATGTTTGTTTTTTTTTGCTGCCCCTTTATCATTTTCTTCGCTATCTCAATTAATTCTATTTGACATACACGTTCCTACATACATACATATGTATGTTTGTACATTTGTTGCATGGGGACATGGAGGTAAGACGGAAAATAGACAGATCGACTTAGGATGACAGTATGACTGACTGACGGACATGTTCAGGTTAAGGGGGCGTTGTAAGGTGAGAGGAGTCAACACAACGCCCATGGCTTCGCGTCGGTTGAACGCTGAAGAGGGTGGCTAGACTCCGCCTGACAGCACTGTACTTTTCTTTCGTCTCTTTTCGTACTTTCGTTCCTTTTTTTAATTTTTTTCTTTTGCTTCATTCTGCCACATATTCGGCATATGACCTTCAACTTTTTGGTTAACGTAGCGCTAGTGAGGCGAGAGCGAAAGACCGACCCCATCCGATGAGCTATGCCTGGGACCGCGATCAGGCCGACTCGCTACTCGACCTTGCAACCAACCTGCAGCTACATAACAGACCTGAGGGGATATATTATAAGACCATAATCGGATTTAGCACACCAAAATCCTTTGGAAATGTATATTAGTGTTTCTGCTACCAAAAAAAGTTAATCTTTGTTGGCCTGTATTATTAACATGTTACATTTTTATGTAATCGCGTAGCTTTCTAGAAATTTGGCATGCGGCATCATGGTAATCACCAGTTTTGTTTGATATAACATAATCTTACGATACATAACGTAATCATGCAGTGTTGTAGCATGTAATATGAAAAAAGGAGTCAGAATATGATTGATTTCATTTTTATTTACTCATCAGTCTCTCGATTTAATTTTATTCAATTGATCGAAACCCAACAAGCAAAATAAACTTGAAGAATTTTTTTTTAAGTTTACAATTAAAAATATTATGCGAAAGCTTAAAAAACGTTGATTTTTTGTTTATAAAACGCTTGAAAGTAAGCTTAATATAATATAATCGAAATGGAACCTTGGTTATAAGAGTAGAAATGTAAACTTATAATAAATGTTCAAAAGAAAAGTTTTTTATGAGAGTATAAATGTAAACTTATAATAAAGGTTAAAAAAAGTTGTTTACTAAAAATTTTCAAAATAAAGCTTTATGTAAACGTTTTTGTAATCCTTTATTTAAACAATATTTCATTAATAACTCATACATACATACATCAACATCTACCCGCCCTTGTTGCAGAACCCTTTATATACCATACATACATATCGATACTGCAAAACGTTCTATGTCAATTATGACCTGGGTACTTAACAGCTCTGTCACCTGCATCTGATCGCTTCTCTTAATCGATCATTTTCATTGGCCAAAGGGAGAAAGTTTTGTCGCAAGTTTAGCATATAAATTCACGATAATACACAAACATTAAGCATAAAAAAGTTAGTTATTATATCTAGTTGCGTTGTGCAGCTTTTAATTACTTGCGGTTATTGGCAAATTGAAAAAACGACTTGGGACGCAAACATGTCACAATTGAAAAAATTTTATATTTACATCTTCATGTCGTTAACATTTGCATTTCATTTTTGTGTTTAAGTGATTTATAAATATTCGCCCTTAACACTTATTAAAGGTTTATTTGAAAAAAACTTTAAATAAACCTAATATTAAAAACGCTTATTATCGCAAACTTACTTGAAGTTATTTTTAAAAACATTTACTGAAATGCTTGTTGGGATATACACATGTACTATAATTACGGTGACCATTCGTACCGATTTTGGCGGGACAGTACCAATTTTGAGAAAATTGTTCCGCTGAATATTTTTTAAAAGTCGGGACGTATGTGTCCCGATTTTTCATATTTGTGATGATTAAGTCCCGATTTTTAGTGTTTTAATATTCATTTATTAAAACTCCCCTGCACTCTGGCCCAAAAACAATAAATAAACAAATAAAAAGGAATAAATATACATCAGTGAGCCATAAACATAGCCAGCATCCTTATTAATAATATATAAATATAATTAATGAGATTATAAAAAATAGTTCTAATACCCTCAAAAAAATAATGGATTTGAAAAACATAAGCTGTAGATAGAGTGGCGAAAATATAAATAGGGAAGAGATATTTTAGCTTTCTTTGTCTATTACCCTTTCGATTTTTTAATGTTTATTCCTTTTTATGAAAGTGTGGCTCGTTATCTAACAAAGACCACTTAAGTCAGAAATTGAAACTTTGTACAAAAATTAGCAAAATTCGACAAAGTTTCATCAAAATTTTGAGCTTTTTTATTAAATTTCTTAGAAACATTCTGAGTATGCAGTTTTGTAACCTATTCAATTCAAAGTGCAAATTTTAAGTAGCTAGGACTTACCGTTGATATTTGGTAAATTTTGTGGGAGGTGTTGCTCATTGCGAAGAAAATGCGGGAACAAAAAATTTACAAAAATCAACGGTAAGTCCAAGCTTATTCCAACACGTTTTCTTAGATAGTAGGTTATATTTTCATAAAAAAGTAATAAAAATTTTTAATGTTTTTTCTCTTTGTTTTGTTTTAAATAAAACTAGATTAAGCATTTTTGTTCGAAAAACAAAATTGTATGTTCGGATGCTCTTGAAATGTCCCGATTTTTTGGCCACAGAAGTCTGGTCACCGTAACTATAATTGATATGTATTGATTGAAAAGTGTATATACATATGTACATGTGTATATGTACATATGTACATGTGTATATGTCAATCCAAAAAATACAATTTTTGTTAAGTACGCAGAAATTATGCCCAACTCTTCTTGAATGCATGTTTCATAGATGTATCGATTACCAGTAGTTCAGTAGAACAAAATATGTATATATTTTTACTATGGAAGTATATGTAAATTAAAACTTTAAAGTCGCTTTTCTGGAGTTTGGTTTTTTGCAGTTATGACACTATTAAAGTAAATGAGCGATATCTTCACACATAAGTAAGTGTATGTTAAACATCATCAAAGTTTCTTCTTTAGCTTTTAAAAGGAAACAAAAGGCAAATTGTAAATCGTTTAACTTGTGTTCATTAATAAAGATTTAAAAAATTACTTTCAGTTTTGTGGCTCAACTCCCATGACCGGACAGCCCTATAGGGGGCAAAAACTGTGGAACCGTGAGTGTTCGGTTATGGAAGGTTTCACTGTATACATATTATTTAGACTCATGTAGATAGACTACTACAGACTTGTAAGAGGATGTTTCTTATAAACGGTTCTACAGTTATGGAACCGATTACTTTGGTTCCATAAAATCTTTTCTTTTAAGCATTGGTTTCTTACAACCTTTTCTCTTACATAATATATTATATTTGCTTTTTTATAAGTATTATATTACGTTAGACTTGTTGCAAGACAAATAATTCTTATAGCCATACAATAAGTACTATATATACTTAAATGAGCTATGGGGTCACACGTGTATTTAAAAGGTATACGCTAACAAAACTCTCATGGAAAGTATATAGTTTTGGTTAAACCGGAATCATTTTGGTTAATAAATATGTACATGAATCATGCATACGTGTACATAATTTAGAAATAATAACAAACAATATTTCAAAGAGGTATTTAATGAACAAAACCGTTGAAAAGCTCGCTACAGGTCAATTTTTTTAGTATACGCATAATGCAATGTAAAACAAAATACTTACCTGCCTAATAAGTAGTTGCTGCCAAGATTGTAACCTCCAGTTAAACGTGAAGCCACCAACCGCTCTGACTGCGATGTCAAACACACTGAAAGTGCTGCTTCCTCACCAAAGCACCTCGAGGTGTTTTCAGGTTCCCTCTCGTTATTATCATTTCTACAATGGTATTGCAATTGTGTCGTCGATGGCAGTAATTGTTTTTGTTGTTCTGGCCGATGGTAGTGATTAAGATCCGTCCACTCCTGAATATATGCAGACTTGTCGGTATCACCATACTCACACATTATCAGAACGCTTTATATGTAGGCTAATAGTAGTTAGTAAGATTAACGACAACACAATTGTTCATTATTGCATACATACGTAAATGAAAAATTCTCTTCGCTGTTATTTAATGAAGCTGCAACTGCCTCTCTTTGTGACTAAATGGATTTTGTTTATTCTGACCAAGATAAGATTACCTTTTATATGTACATTACAACATCAATATAAACGTATGATAATAAGTAACATACAATGTTGCTTTACTACTTAAAATCAGTTAGTTGATCTGTTCAGAAGGAAGCAGTCAAATTTCATATTCATTCTTCTTAAAACATAGCACCCGTGATGTAACCTTTGAACGATAGCAAAAAAAAGATATGTGAGTTCACAAATGTAACTTCCCCGTTCGATTGAAGGAATTGTATTTAGCCGGTTACTTAAAGATGCCCGAAAATGCCCAATCAAAAACACGTTTAGAAGGCTTCGAGCGATGGATATGACTAGCAGTTTAATTAAATTAGCAAACCTTGGACTTATGAATGATCGAAAAATAGAAATCGAGTGCGACTTTTAAATTTTACTCGTCATGGGGTTTATCTTTCCGAAACCATTCCCTGTCTTGCCTTTAATTTTTCCACAGATGTTTTGCAAATTACATTTATCCGAGGCTAATTCATTCATTTTATTCGGTTCACAATCTTTTATACCAAATCGAATAATCAAAATAACAAATCGAATAATAAACAAAAACAGCTGCTGCAAGGCGAATTTATACATATATTTATAAATAAATATACACATCCAAGGCGAATTTATACAAGGTGGTGTTCAAGGCAAGGCGAATTTATGCAAGGTGGTGTTCAAGGCGAAGGTACAAGGTGGTGTTGATGGCGAATTCAGGTTTTCGCCGCGGTACTTCTATTGTCAAAATGATATAAATTCGCCTTGACCCGCAAGCATATGAACGAGGCGAATTAATATAAGGTGATAGCAGTACAAAAACAAAAATTTACATGTATTTTGTTTTTGCTTTGGCGGCATAAACTGTCAAAATCTGTAAGAGTGTGTGTAGAAATTCAAACAAAATTTTTCAATTTGATATCAGAAGCCGTGCGGCGAAACACATACACAAAATCAGCTGAGCTAGTAACACCACCTTGCATATGAAATTGAACACAGCCAAAGTAAAATGGCGAAGCCAAAGGTGGCCGTATTTCGTTTTTTTCCAAGTTATAGAAAAAAACAACACGAAATATTATTTGTTGGTTGAACAATATACTTATCGATTGGTTAAATTTGGCTTAAAATAAAATAAGTTATGGTAATTTCCCTTTGTTTATCATTTATATTATTTATCATTTTCTCATTTGTAAATATGGCTTCTTTTTTTCTAAATATTTTCACCCAAGTTATAAATGCGACGAAATGATATCAGCAAAAATGAAATACCCAGCAGGGCGACAGAAATCAATCTATCGACACGAAACAACGCCGAGCGGACTTCACATTTCGCTTGGGTTGTGTTAATTTTCATATGCTGCGGGTGTTCTAATTGTGAAATCGCGAATTTTGCTGTGCTTAGTTCGCCTTTCGCCGGTATTGTGTGTCAGCTATTATGCCTGGGTGAGAAGTGAAACACAACTCCAGCGAAATTCGCGCTTTCAAAATTAAAACACCCGCGTCGTCGAATTAGAACGCCCTGTCAAAATTAGAATTATGGTATGTCAAAAGAAAGAGAAAGTTGTGCGGTTTTTATAGAAATATTTATGCACCAATTCAATAAAACTAAATTTTACAAAATAGTGTTCATATACATTTGTATGTATGTATATACTTTTTATGCACATTTTTTTAATTGTCCTTTTTCTAAAATTGGTTTTAAACATGGTTATGGTATATACGTCGCATAAAAGGTATTTAGATTATCTACAAATTTACATCAATATTTTTCCAATCGTTAGAGTAGTTTCCGAGATATTATACATACATTTACAAAATTTAACAGTTGAACTTTAACCTTTTATATTTAGATTGAAATAAGTTAAAAAGTTCTATCGATCAGCATTTTTGGTTTTCTTCTAACTAAACAGCTGGTATTCTAGACTTGTTCCAATGACGCAATCGAGCCAATGATGCCAGCGAATTTTTAATATGAAGAAGTTTGCCTTTTACCAATTTTAAAAATTAGATGATACTTAAGGAGGTCAAGCACAATGTGTATACCAAATTAGGTGCAGATTCGTGCTGGTAAAGGATCGAACTTTGTCCCAGCGAGTGGTAATGCGAACCTCTGGCCACTCGTTATCTGTTTCATAANGGTTTGTCAAACCGCTTGTGTGGTGTATTTCGCTCTTAAGTCTATTCATGATGAAATGTCATGTCTGAAATCCCACGTGATCTGTCAAATACTAATGCATGAAAATCCTAACCTCAAAAAAATCACCCGTTAAAATAAACATTTGCGGGCCATGTATGGTTCTAAACAAAACAAATATTAAATCAAAGTCGAATTTTATCTTTGAGTATAGTGATTTCTAGTGTCGCGATTTTAATGAAGGCATTTTAATCAAATTTAACAGTAACATTTTCTTATAATCAAGGTACTCAAGGCAACATCAGAAATAGTCTCTTATATCAACATTTGTGACACTTATTTTAAACGGGCTGATATGAACTTTTCATAATTCCGTTATAACTAAGCTTGAAGGCTTATTAAGCGCACACTTGTCTATACCAATCTTTGCTATCTCTGCACCGCGGATTAACGCACATTGGACAACGCATTAAAAACTTAGGGTTTACAGTTTGTTTATCATTTAGATGTTCCGCTACTATTGAACTTAAGGCCTTAATAAAAACTGGGTGATCATTTGGTGCAGCAGCACGCCTTATCTCCTCCACACCTACCTAAATGAAAAAAAAAAATTAACTCCGAGTCGATCATTTTTGTATACGTTTGCTTACTTACCTCTTTAGCCAATTCATCGCAATATTCGATGTCCAATTCATGTAAAGTTTCAATGTGCTCATTCACAAATGCAATTGGAACTAAGATAAAATTCTTACGACCCTGTTTTACGTAAGCCTGAAGGAGATACAAAAAAGTTTTGGTGGTAATTATGATAGAATTGAATATATCTTTACTCTAATGGTGTCATCGGTAGCCGGCGCCAACCACGGTAAAGGCCCCACTTTCGACTGCCAAGCTAAAGTATATGGATTCGATTTCCCTAGTTCTTGCATAACCAAATGCACGCTGGCGCCCACCTCTGATGGGTATGGGTCACCCCGATTGACAGCTTTCAATGGCAGTGAATGTGCAGTGAAAAGGATAACAACATCGTTCCGTTTTGTCTCACCAAATTTCTTTAATTCCTCTCGTATGCGATCGGCGAATGTTTTAATTAATAGAGGATGAGTTGACCAACGATCAATCACACTAAATCTTGTATTTTTTGGAAGGGAACTACAAAAAATAAACAAAAGGAAAGTACATTTGTTTAGGATTAATTTTCAATCAAAATACGAACTGTTGCTGGTAGTGGGCAAAAATGGAATTAAAGCTGGAGCCAGATGTTGCACAGCTATACTGCGGATATTGCGAGAACAACACTACTCTTTCGGGCGCTTCCCTGTACGATAAATAGTGTTAGTAAACATATTTTTAAGCATAATACATTACTATACTTTTCAATCTGCACCAGCGTATCTTCTGTAAGTGGATTAACATACCGAAAACCCACATAATGCTTATGTGGTGCAGTTTCTGGAGATATGCGATCTAACTCCTTACACATTAATTCTCCTTGTACATCTGTCCATTTTAAAATAGGTGAGCCCCCACCAATTTCTTTGTACTTTTTTTGTACTTCGGGGGTTCGCCGTTGCGCAATCCAAGGACCTAATTGGCTTTGTACAGGCAACTGTATCATATCTCGATCAGTCATAATGCGTAACAAGTATTCATGGACTTGATCCGTATGCTGCGGGCCACCCATATTTAACATAAGAATAGCGGTCTTTACATTGCTGGTGGTGGCAGTAAATCGCAGGGATGCGGGTTTCATTAGAGACTTCACTGCATTTGCTAATATATTACAAATATATTAGCACACATGGCACATTCGCTCTTATACACATGTACTATATATGTTGTAAATATACGTTTTACTCACTTGCCAATAACCCTCCTTTAAGTAACATTATTGCAATTTAAATGAAAGAATTTGCTGAAAATAAAATATGTAGATCCTCAAGTCGCCAAATTTGCTGGCAAAATTTGTATTTCTATTATTTGCCGGTGTTGCAACTTGCAATTATTTTGGGATGACAATTCATATGTATTCGCCTTGGATGATAAAAAAAGCAAGGCGAATTAATACCTTGGCGAATTCATATAGTTTCGCCTCAAGCAAGGCGAATTTCTGAAAGCATAAAGCTGGAACTCCATATCAGAGAATTTAGTTTGTTGCTAACTTTACATTAGGGGTCTTCCCTTAATGCCCCGAATGCAGCTCTCAAGAAAACGGTCAAGAAAAAATGTCCAGAAATAATAGAACGGGCATATATTTCTGTTGCATACCTGGGTTGCCTTGTGCTCTTTTTTCACAAAAAACTTTAGAAAACCGAAATAGAAAGAGTATCAAATTTCTTAAGAACTGCGTACTGCCTCAAGAAAATTTTACACAAGAAAATTTCTTAGGCATTTCTTGTACGTCATTTTGTATGGAATTTTTGCTTTTCTTGAGAACTGCATACAGGTCTTAAAAAGCCCTGTATGCAGCTCTCAAGAAAAGCAAAAACTCCATATAAAATGACGTACAAGCAGTACGCAGTTCTTAAGAAATTTACTACGCTTTCTACTACGGTTTTCTAAAGTTTTTTGTGAAAAAAGAGCACAAGGCAACCCAGGTTTGCAACAGAAATATATGCCCGTTCCATTATTTCTTGAGGAAAGAGTGAGGCAACAGGCTGTGCGTTATCAAAAATGTCAAAATTCCTTGGACACACACGCGAAATAATGGCAATTTTTTCTTGACCGTTTTCTTAAGAGCTGGATACTAAGCTTATATGCGGAATGCAGTAAAATAAAAAGGGATTTGGTTATTTTTTCCCATTACTGCTTACTTTATTAATTTATGATTATCTATATATTAATACGATAACATAAATTTTGTCCGCCTTCGTTTAGCGATTCTACCGAACCGATTTCAAAACCAAGAACACCGTTGGAAAGGTATTTTTCCTTAGAGAGAGAATTACGGCCAAAACCGTCGTATAAACATCTTTGTATTTGTGTATAGATGTTGCTGCAACATATTCCATTTGACATGTTTCGCGTGTTGTTTCACTTCACATTTGAAAGTAAGCTTTGAAATAAAGATAAGTATGAAGATGAAGAAATAAATGATAACGATGAAGTCAAAAAAAGAAGGCAAAAGTGAAGATAAGGGCGAAAATGGAGACAATGACAGATACATAAGAATTAGGGTAACTGAAAGGGTAAGAACATTTCTTGAATTTATGAAGTGAAACTTCTTTAGCTACAGTTGGTTGGTTGGGAGTAAATTGTCAAATTCAAGGGCAATAATGCACATGGAAATGCTTCTCAGCGGTTTAGCAGTTTGAGCATAAAAACAAAAACAAAGATGCCTAGAGATACAGGCATCACGAAAGATCAAAGTAAATTTAAACCCTTTAAGGTAAAGGTGAAGAGGAATATGCAGAAATAAAGATAAATATGAAGAAAAGGATGAGGATGATGATCGATATTGTTATCGATATAAAACTCGATATTTTTATCGATATAATAATCGATATCGTTATCGATAAAATAATCGATATTGTTATCGATACTGTTATTGATTAAATAACCGCTATTTTGATCGATATAATAATCAATAAAATAATGGATATTGTTATCGATACAATATTGGAAGTTGTTATTGGTATAATAATCGATTAAATAATTGATTTTGTTATCGATTTAGTAATTTATATTGTTATCGATATGTAAAATAATCGATACTGATACTATATTTATCGATGAATTAATCGATTTAGCAATCGTTGTATTTTTCTATATGTTTCTAGATACTGTTATCGGTATTTTTATCGACATAATTATCAACACGGTTATCGATATAATAATCGGAACATGGAATGTGATCACATTACATGACATCACATCACATTATATCACATGATATGAAGAGGCATCACATGATATTACATCACATAATATGATATCACATCACACGATATCACGTGACATGACATTATATGATATGACATCACATTATATGGCACGACATCACATGACTTGACATCACATGATATGACATCGTAGGACATGACATGGCATTACATGACGTCGCATCACATGATATCACATCATATGGTATGACATCATATGACTTGACATCAGAGGATGTGACAACAAATGACATGACATCCCATCACATCACATAAAATCACGTCACATCTTATCACGTCATCGCACCTCATCTCATATATGTGAATAGAAAACTAAAAGGATATAAGCAAAGATGTGAAAGATAAAAACAAAGATGAAGACCAAGGTAAACTTACCGATTTCAAAACCAGAAACACCGTTGGAAAGGTAATTTTCTGTAGATGAGGAGAGTTTTTATAGTTTCGAAATTGGTTGAAAATCGTCGTTTAAAATTTCCATATTTGTGTATGGTTGTTTTTGCAACCTGTGCAATTTAAGCTGTTTCGCATTTTGTTTTACTTCGTATTTGAAATTAAACTTTGAAATAAAGATAAATATGAAGATGAAGAAACAAGTGATAACGATGAAGACAAAAAAAGGCAAAAGTGAAGATAAAGACGAAAATTGAGATAAAGGCGAAAATGGAGACAATGAGAAATACATAAGAATTAGGTTAAAAGATAGGAATCGAAATAAAATCAGCCATAAAGGTTACTGAAATTTATCGAATCATCGAAGTTTATAATTATCGAAATTTATCCATGCTTATTAAGTTATTGCAACGTATCGAATTATTCAAACTGATCAATGTTTACTGAGTTGTCGAAATTTATAGACACAGAAACTTAGTTGTCCAAATTTACGGATAGTTATCGAGCTATAAAAACGTGTGGGATTAACGAAATTTGTCAAGTTAAAGAAATGTATCAAGTTATCGATATTTATTGAATTATCATTATTTATAGACTTAACGAAATGTATCGAAGTGTCGTAATGCATGGAGTTCTTTCAACTTACAGAGTTATGTATAATTATTGATCTACTGAAATTGGTTGGTTCAACGAATCGAAGTTTGTGGAATTTTCCAAATATATCGATTTATCGAAATTTCAAGGTTATATAAGCTTATCGATTTATCATTGCTTATTGAACTTTATCGTGTTAACAGAGTGTAACGAGTTATA